AGTACTTCACAAATATCCTTTTTCGGTACACTACTCTACCTATGCCCTTGTGTGTATAGCATTCTACCTCTATCCTTATGGATATATCACTCTACCTATACTCTTGTGAGAAGATCACGCTACTTATATCCTCATGGATATATTACTCAACCTATCCTCTTTGAAGTATATCACGCTACCTGTTTCCTCATGAATATAGCACTCTACGTTTAGCCTTGTGAGTATATGACGTCACGTATATCCTTATAGATATATCATTCTGCCTATGATGTTGTGAGTGTATTCCTCGACCTATCTCGTCATAGATATATCATCCTGCCTATACTCTTGCGAGAATATCATTGTACCTATATCCTCAAAGATATGTATCATTCTGCCTATACTCTTTTGAATATATCATTTTACCGACATTCTCATAAGTATATCACTCTTCCTATACTGTGGGGACCCTATCACTGTACTTACACGGGTGTGGGTGGCTGTTCTTCTCGTTCACACGCACACAACGACACCCACACACCCGCACCCCACACCCACACCCACCTACATCAACACCCACACTCCCACACTCCACCCACACCCACAGAAACCTATCTTCCAAATGGTGCAACGGATATCGATGAAAATTTCAGGAAATAGAAAAATAGATATTAGTAGTATAAAATAAAAATTTGAACCAATAATTTCTCATAATTGAGAAATTATACCGAATGTAGTCCTAAAAATGGGGCTTTGTGCTCGGAACATTTTTTTCGGTGCTCGATAGCACGGATAATGGGAAAACTTATTTCAAAATGAAGGAAAAACTTGTACCTACAAATTGTTGGAACAGTTTCTTGAAATTCGTTTTCATTGAAATGTAGTGGTCATTTTGAACTGAGAATCACGAAAACTGTTTTGAGTTCTTTCTAAAATTTTCATATGTCTGAAAAACGGATGCATGTTTCAGAAATCTGTTTCAACAATTTCTAGAGAAAAGTTTAATCTTTCGAATAAATAGAAAATCAACAATATACATTAAAGGTGGATCGGAAAAATGTTCTGGAGTGGTCAGGAAACGATAAAAAAACGAAGTTGAGAAAAACGAATAACAACATTGTGAAGTGATTTGCAGTGTGCCTGTGTAGAAATTTGGAACATATTAAACATTGTTGAAAAGTTTATAAAACGTTCTTCCATTCTATGGTATTTGCGACAAAAAACAAAAAAAAATCCGAATTCGAGTTTACTGTAGCGCCACCTTTTCCAGAATTTGCGCTGTCTTAAAACTATAAAACCTTTGTACAACCACCAAAACAAGTTCAGAGCATGATTAATCGATATGGAGATTACTTTAGAGTGCCGAGAAATTCGAAGAAATGATTATACGTAGTTCCCCCGTAAATAACGTAAAATCATTCAAGCAGCCTATTCTCGTATGTGGCTTCCGAATCAGCGCCAAAACTGGGTTATATATGTTCCATTCATATATAATTTATACATATTCTGAAAGAGGACACTCAAGGCTATAAGAATATGCGCTTTTTGGAAAATCGCATTTTCTAAGCAAAATCGACTTTCTGAGATTGGGGAGGCGGTCCCCCTTAAAAAAGTAAAGTATAAAATCAGATTAAAACATCCTTAATGTTCACTTGCGATTCACTGATCAATATAAAATGTCTTAAATTACACTGATATTTTTATTGAATAAAATAAATCTTTTTTTTTTTTCTTACACATTTCATCTTCTTATATATGGCATTTGCATATCTCCATAGACATCGATTCCTAATAGTCATATACAAGTCAACTTTTCTTTCATTCATTATATGAACTGTTTATTTTTCAATAACAATATTCATTTATTTTACGTAAAAAATGGACAAATATAATCACTTTCTTTTATTATCGAAGGAAAATATTCTTGAAAAGATTTCGAAGATCTCCAATCACTCCACGGTAATAAATCGTCTACTTTGATACAATTCATTCGAGTATCTTTTCTTGTAAAATGTTTTGTTACTCTTAGCAAAGCTTTACCATTAATAAGAAGACGAATATTCTTTCGAAAATATGTTCTTCTATCACTTAGAAATTCTTCCACATAATCATCATGAACCCGTTCAATGTCAAGTTCAATAAGATGAGAATATTCAACGATTGATAAGTGACAATTATCATTCGTTAATTCATAAGATTGTTTGCATTGTTGTGGTTTGCGATTAATTAAAACTAATTTTTCTGTAAATGGAAATGATTGACCTATTTGAAGAAAAAATTCATGTTCAAAAGGATATTCATCATATAATGATACAACACGAACATATGGATAATATCCACCTGGAAATTGATTTGATAAATATTGATAATATGACATTTGAGATGGATATGTATATACATGACATTGACATTCTTCTCTACCTAGAAAATGATCCATATAACATATCATTTGTTTATATTGAAAATCTTTGAATGTGTTTTGAATATCTTCTTTCGATGGTAAAATTATTTGATTATTAATTCTCATAATCGAACGAATATTAAATGTGAATTTATTTAATCGTGACATATGATTAACAATTTTATTCTTCAAATTATGTCCATCAATGAATGTTTCTTTAACTAAAATCGAAAGAGATAAATTGAGTGTTTCTAAATTTGACATTCGATAAAGAAATGGGAGAATCAATTTATCATAACAGTCTATTTCCCAAACACAAGACAAGGAAAAACACTTTAGACTTGGTATATCTCCCTAGAAACAAAAAATAAAAGCAGTTTCAATTTGTTTTCTTCTAACAAAAACTAACTTGATTTTCAATTTTTTCCGGTGTCCAAATGTTGGCTGACTCCACAATGAGTGTGTGAAGTTGATTGAAACGACCATCAAGAAGATATAAACATGTATCAAAACAATCAATCTTAATATTCAATACCAAAAGAGTTGAAGAACAAAAATTAATCGGTGGATAAAATGGTAATGGAACGACATTTTGATATGATTCAGAAAATATTAAATGAGTTAACTTCTTAAAGACACTAAAAATATGATTGCTTATGTATTGCATTGTTGAATGATGTTTCTGATTCTGATCAGTGTCAATTGTAATTAGAAGTTTGGTAATTTGATTTTTAAAAAGACCAGATGAAAGATTTACATCTAAACATAGAAATAATAATATTAACAAACAATAGTCATGTTAATTTTAATCAATCACTCATTTATTTACTACTATTACAATTGGATTTTGAGATTTTCTTACCAGTGAAAAGACTTTTAATTGTTTCTTCTTCGATATTGAATAGGCCCAGTCCATGTATATTAGGATAATCAGCAGCACATAGAATTTGTTTCATAGATGATGATTCAGCATCAAGCCATTGGATTTTTTCACGAACTGCTGGTAAAATTTGTAAACAAAATCGATCAAATATAATATCAAGAGAAAATATGTTGAGAAATTTCTTTGAAGACCTTTTCAAGAAATTCAAACGATTTGTAAATATTGGATCTTGTAGAATTAAATCCAATCGTTCATTGATACCGACTAAAGAATAAAGAACTTCAACATTATTCATTTGTTTGAAAATAAATATAAGAAGTTCATCAGGTAAATCCTTTAATTGAACACATGACCGATTCATTTTTATGTTTAATAATTCTGTTCATTCTATCTCTCAAGAGTCCATATTTATATATGAATGCCCATGTGTTCGATTTGACCGATACCGTCAATAGCGAAAAGAACTAGAAGATATTTTTCAATAGTCAAAGTTGTCAATGACTGAACAAATGTTGTTATTTCTCTTTTTTCTTCTTTCTTTAATACATCATATGAATAATTTTCAATCTGTAAAATATCTGATGAACTTTCAATTGATTTTTTTCTTCATATTTTTTCTAATATTTTGAAATAGAAGAGAATATTTCATATCATAGAAAATGGGCTTTTGATGAAAAAAACTCACTTTCAATATATGAATGTTCACATTCTTCTCATGGATATATTATTTTAAGAATAAATATTTTGATGTATTGAAAATGTTTTATGAAAAGAATATTCTAGTATTTCATCACTAAACTTCTATTTGAATGATTTAGATTTCTTTTGGATTTTGGAAATTGTATTTCGATCAAAGGCGACTATAAGTTTCAGGGTAATATGGGTGTGGGTGTGG